TCTGGGCACATCTGTCCCCACTTCCCAGGCAAAACTAGAGGCGTGTCAGTGCGTCTCCAATTGGGGTCACGCCCCTCCAGGCCCCCTCTGGAAGGTGGCCCTCACCCCCTGGTCTGTCACACGTGATCGTCCGTGTCCCTCCAGGATGCATTCACAGTTGCTTCACAGTTCAGCCAGCCACTTCCCTGACGCAGGCTGCGGCTCAGCGCTCAGTGCAGGACAGAAACTGGTGTGGCAGGCGGATGAGGGCCCCTGAGGACCCCAGTGGATAGCTGCCACGGCCCCTTCCTCTCTCTTCAGGGGCCTCGGAGTGGGAGGGGGCGGGGAGGATGTGAGGAAGTTGAAGCCGGGCAGGTGGCATGGATGGCCCTGGGCTCCCTTGGGACTGGGCTGCGGGCAGGGTCACCCACAGGTCATCCTGTCCTGCCCTTTGCCTCCAGGGAGACAGGTGCGAGGGCCTCCCCAGCCTCGCTGGGGGGTTTAGGGACCTTTGGGGAACACCTGTCCCTGGTAGCTGGGCATCAGCTCTTTGAGGAGCTAGGGAAAACGGCTCTGCATTGGACGTGTGGTCCTGGTGACCGGGTTATGTGGCTGTCCGAGCCCAGGCACCGCTAGCTTGGATTTTCCAGCATTTCGGGCGTAGCCACCACGGGAACAGGTTCCTGGACATTTCAGGGACCTGGAGTTTGCTACCCAGGGTGGAGAGGTCTCTGGGACCCACAAGGAAGGGCTGCTGGGCCTGGGGGGTCCGTGCTGTCATCCCAGGTCAGGCCTGGTGTCCAGCTGGCTGGGGCCGCAATGGTTTGGGTCCCCAGGCCCAGGGGCACCCGCCCCTAATACAGCAGCTCCTCTGGGGAGTCTGTGCTGTACAGCTCGGCCAGCATCTTGAACCTGGGCCCCCAGTCGTTGAGGAAGTCGTAGTCGATGTCGGAGTCGGACGAGCCGGTGCCCAGGGAGCTGAGGGACTCGGCGATGGACTCAGAGCCCTCGTAGTCGAACAGGTGCAGCGTGTCGTAGGGCAGGCCGCTGCTGTCCTGGTCCGCCTCGTCCTTCTTCACCTCGATCACCGCGGCCATGTCCCCCAGCTCCCCGGGCTTGGGCGGCGGCAGGTGCCGCGGCTGCTCGTGGTGTCCATCTCGCCGCCGCCCTCCTCGTCGTAGGACACCAGCTGCTCGTGGATCTCGGGGACGCTCTTGCCGTGGGCCCGGTCCTGCTTCCGGAGCCGCCGCCGCAGGAAGAGGAGCACCATGATCACTGCCGGCGAGAGAGCCGTGGGTTAGGGCTGGCCCGGCCCTCACCCGCGCCCCCTCTCTTCCCGGGGAATTCCTGCAACTCAGGGATACCCTGGCCCCACACAGGTGTGCGTGGGTCCAGACACCTGGTGGGTCTCGGCCCCACCCTGCCCCCATGTGGTCCTGACTGGTCGTCAGCGCCCCTGGTGGGGGGTGGGAAGGGAGAGGTACCCATTGGGCTTCCCTCACGTTCATTCTCTCCTCCAGTGTCAGCCTCATCTGCCCGCATCCTCGTTTCCTCCTCACACCACTGTGGCAAACA